CCAAATCCCCAAACCCTTTGCACTATATCCTTGCATTTCTCTTCATCAGCCCAGCAAGCATCAAACTTGAAGTAATCCTTCCTAACAGAGCCCATCACCTCAACCCCCTCCAAGCTTAAGACAATAGCCGAGTGATCCGAGGACGCCATCGGGACCGTATCAACTCTAGCCTCCGGAAACATCAATCGCCAATCATCCTTCGCTACATATCTATCAATTCTCTCACAAACAAAAGATCTGGCTCGCGTTCCACTAGCCCACGTAAACCACCCAGTCCTTGGCCTAATATCCCACACCTCAGCAACTCGAAGGCACTGCTTGAAATCCTCCATTTGGCTCCTAACAGGATTTCTCCCTCCACTTTTTTCGTTCCCATGGATGACTTCATTAAAATCTCCTCCAACACACCAAGGAAGAGAAGAAATGGACGCCAAATGCGAGAGCATCACCCAATTAAGCCTTTTGTTCGCCCATTCACTTCTCCCATAAAATCCGGTGAACCGAAATTTCTTATCCTTCCAGACTACCTCCACATCAATGTGAATATTAGAGAAGCTCTGTAGACTGACCTCACAACCTTCCTTCCACAGCATCATCAACCCCACACAACGGTCCGATCTTTCTACTTCAAAACAACCCCCCATCTTTGTCGCCACTCTGATAGCCTCCGTTTTATTTTTCCGTAATTTCGTTTCAGAAACAAAAACCAACATTGGGTCCTTATCGGAGATCATTCTCCTAAGTTCTCGAACTGTCGCTGGGTTCCCAAGCCCCCGGCAGTTCCAACAGAACAGCGTCATGGTTCCTGGCGGGGCTGAAACTCAGCCTCCGCCAAAATCTGAGCACCCCCAGCTCCTTCCTCCGGTAGTTCACTTGGGTCTTCCTCCTCGCTCGTTCCCACCTTAGAGTTCAAAGTAGAGTCCGAAATATTCACTAATTTCCGATAGATCCTCTTCACTTTCCTTTTCCCCTTACTTGCATCCCCGATCTTCCTCTTCCCTGAACTGGATGAGCCAACTTCTGCCCGAACGCTCTCCACTCGATAATCTTGGAGTTCCTCAATCAGCTCTCGGTTACATCGAACAAACACATCAGGAAAGGTCTTAGGGAGAGAGCTGTCCGTCCCTGTAGGATCCGAAGGGTCTGTATCGTCTTGATTAGCACTTGATGAGACTAACAAATCCCTTCCTGGCATCCACGGTCTACCACGTGGAGTCCTAGTTCCCCTATCCGGACTAGGAGAATTGGCCGAGCTTGTCACAGTCCTTCTATTTAAATCCCCTTCTGCATAAACAATCCCCACTTTCCTACTCGAATTACTCTCATCCGGTCTCTTAAAAGGAGAGACTCTAAGCCATTCTCCAAATTGAAGAAACTGCTGCAATTGATCCGAAAACCCCGGGCACTCCGTAAGCACATGTCCTATTATCCCACACTTATGACAAAAGGAAGGAAGCCTCTCATATTTTAATAGACATTTCCTCGAATCACCATTAGCACAAACGCCCATTTTAACACATCTTCTCAAAGGTTTAGAGCTATCAATCTCAACTCTCACCCTAAGAAAATCCCCCATCCTTCCATCACTTGGTCTAGTATCAGTAGCTATAATCTTTCCAATACGATTTCCTATCTTTTCAGCAGTCTCTATTTTCATAAAACCCAAAGGCAATTCACAAATTCTAACCCACACCGCTAGCGGCCGGAAATCAAATTCTTCAAGACTTAGCTTAGGATCGAAATGAACAATGGCTAAGAGCATACCTTCAAAACTCCAGGGAGTCCTTTTCATTATGGCCAGCTTGTCCGAGATCGTCTTAAACTTGAAAAGGAACATATTTTCCTTCAGAATACTTGCATCCGCAAGCCTCGAATGACCCCAAATAGATCGAAACACCCGCAACACCGCCTCACTTTCCACTTTTTTGTAACCGATTATCCTTGCCACAATCTATTTGTCCATTTCCATTTCATCATCCTCATTATCCATCCGAGGTGGGGAGATGTCCTCAGACTCCTCCTCTGTAAAATTCAAGTGTTTCATCAGTTCCGCAACCTCTTCAGACATCTTCCAAGAAATAAACACAACCGTGGGAGAGATGCAATAATCAATCGTGAGAAAAGAACAGTCTTCTCCCTTACTTTCTTTGATTTCGACTACTGTCCCAAAAGAACTTAGTTGAATCACCAAAGATACATAAATAATTTCTCCCCTCCTTATAGCATTCCAACTACACCGACCTCTCTTATCCTTCCTACACATATCCCACCTACACGTCTCACATTCCTCCACTTGCCTTAATTCCCTCCGAAAAGTCCTCCTTTTTGACATATGTCCAATTTCCAATATTATATTAATATATCTTTCCGAAGATATATTCATATAAAAACTAATATTAAAATAAATATTATAAATTTCCCTTATCCAGCACACCCCACTGTCCGTACTTAAATCAGCGCCTACAACACTGTAGCCGCCGCCTTCTGCCAGCTGTTCTGCCCGATTCAACCGAGGACTCCCATCGCCTACAATAGCCCTGCCACATCCACCGCCTGTCAGCACCGAGTAACAAGTGGGATAGCCCCGATCCCTTCCAATCCCATCAGTCGCCTGCACCGAGACACAAGTTGCTTTCCTCAGTCCATGACTCGACGATTTAATCATCATTTTCCAGATATTTTCATAAAGAAAAAATCTTCTATCATAACTAAGTTCCATCTCAACCGAAACTAAACTAACTCTCTTGACTTCTTGATTAACATAACCGAACAACCCCAATTCCCTGTTATACTCCAAAACAACCCCTGTAGCAATCCAAAACGAATCATCATCCTTCACGTCATCGTCCCGTTTAATGTTTGAAGACCTTCTTCTATGCTCTTCTTCAAGCTCAATTTCTTTGTAAATCATAATCTTCCATATCAAACATCTCTCAATACCTTTATCAATCTTCAAGTTCCCCATACTCCTCAATCTTCCCTCCCCCTCCCACTTCTTAATCCAAAAAATCTCATCTTCCTCGAACACCACCATCCTACCTTCCCAATCATGAAATTGCTTTAACTCTATCTTTCCTCTCTCTTTATCAATCCATCCACCGTTACTATCTTTCAGAAGATCCTGCAAAGCATAAAACAGAAAAAGAGTCCAAATATGAAAACATCAAATGCTTTTACCTTCATTTTCTATAGCTGAAGACGAACACCAAGAGTGCCACACTTTTTCAGGATAACTATCAACCCCTAAAAATTTAAGGTTTTGACAACTGGAAATCCTAATTTTGAGACACCATAACCATTTTGAACTCCTATAAAGAAGTTCTACAACCGGGAGTCCATGATAATCCATGGACGAGACCAAGAAACAACCCAAGAACATTCTCTCGCAAAAGAAACCTAGAGAGAAGGGAGAGCACTTCTCACTAAAACGAGGACCCTACCAGTAAACTTAAATGGATAAGAAAGAGTCAAATTTGGAATTTCGCACAACCTTAATTAACCCCTTTCTTCAGTTATCATTTACAACGTGTAAACCGAAAGATTAATTTAAAATTGAGATTAAGGATTTTGGATTACCGACTGGCCTTATTTCTGTTTGTACTGAAATGGGGTTTGTCTCAGAGGAGGGAGCAGGGAGTCTGGCGAGTGGTATAATGGTGATGGTCCTCTTCTGATTCTCTGCAAGATTTCCCCCCTGCCCTCTTTTCTTGCCCCAACACACATTTTTCTGCTGCTCAATGAACCCATTCTTTAGTGGACAAATTACATTCTAAGTCACTGAATTTAATTCTACTTTAAAACTCATCCGTTTTCACTGCTTTCCTTCGGAATCAACTCTTATATATAACAGGATTTGATTGTTTTATTCTGATATATAATTAGTTTTGGAGGTTTTATTAATTTTAAATAACTTTATGTACGTCTGAGTTTAATGTATTTTGTCGAACAAAGAGAAGAATATGAAAACAAAATAAGTAAATGCACCAAATACGAAATTGCAGGCTTTTAGTGCATCTGAAGAGTCAGGAAGGGATTTGTGTGTGTGAGCACTGAGCAGGCGATGTGGATCAAACCTGTCCACAACGTGAGCATAAGTCCCTATTTTAATTAAATTGTCTTTAAAAATTATGTTTTTTCCTATAAAAATAATATATATAGGTGTCAGAGATCAGAAGAAAAAGAAGTGGCATGAAAACAACCACATGCATTCTCTTTTTGTCTATCCATTTAATAATAATAACTTACTGGTGCATCACCCACTAATCATTGCCGAGAATAAAAACAAATAGCATTTGCCCCCCTCCCCCGTAAAAATAAATAAATAAATTATACGTTAAATATATAAATTATCAGTTTTAATTTATTTTAATATCTAAACTTTTAATATTTCTAAAACCATATCTAAAATTTAAATTTTATTTCATTTTAGTACATTGTTAAAAAATTAATGCTAAGTTTTGAAAAAAATTAAAAATTTAGATCTAAAAGAGTCTAAAATTGATAATTTATATACTAAACATTAAATATAATTTTAAAAAATTAAAATTTTAAATATTAAAACAGACTAAAATGACAGCTTACCCAAAAATAGTAAAGTGAAATTTTAGCTTAATGGTAAGATTGAGTTCTATCACATGTGAGTGTTAAATATGTTTTATTTAAGTTTAAATATAGTTAATGTGAAATTATAATACAGTATTAATTTGATATCTGTTGTTGGAATTAAACATAATATAATTAAATTGGGATATTAAGTCGTCCTAACAATAGAGAAGAAAAAGGCTTCCTGGTTTGCTGTTCTTGGTTTAAAATAATCTCCATTGACTAATGACCAACATATTAATAACGTGACATTTTCTATAATTAATTGATAATATAAAATATATTATTTTAATAAATAGTAAATTTAATCCCAAACAAAATTTACCCTATTTTTTTATTAAAAATTAAATTTATATATAGTCATTCCAAGCCCCTCTACCTATTTATCAAACTCAAATCCAAGTCCATAAAACCAACATATATCATTCGATAACGTTGTGTTTCTTTTTCCTCTCCCACTCCTTCTGCGATTATTCCCGACTTTCCATGGCATCCATCGTACCCAGACTCGAACCTGCCCCCGACACGTGTCCCGAGTTCAAACGGCGGAAACGAAGGATACCGAACGAAAAGCTTGCCTCTTCTCATTCTCAACATAACCAAGGAATTAAGCGATGGCGAACGCAACGCGAGCAACACATCTACTCCTCCAAGCTCGTCCAGGCCCTCCGCCGTTCTCGACTGACCTCAACTTCCTCCTCCGCCGCCAGGGAAGTCCACGATACGGCTGACAGAGTCCTCGCCGTTTTGGCCAAGGGAACCACGCGTTGGAGCAGAGCGGTCCTCACCGCTCGCAAGACAGCCAGACATAAGAAAGCCAAGGTCGCCGCCAATATTAGGTTGAGGAAGCCGGCGTTTAACAGGGAGAAGAGAAAAAAGCCCGCCGTTCAGAAAAAGTTGAAGGTTTTGGGACGTCTAGTTCCCGGTTGCCGGAAACTATCGTTCTCGAACCTCATAGAGGAAACTAGCGACTACATAGCGGCTCTCGAGATGCAAGTTCGAGCCATGACGGCCATCACCGAGTTTCTCGCCGCCGGCGGACCGGCTTGAGTCTAATGTCAACTCTTGAAAAGATGTCCATATTATGATTATTATTATTTTCGGAAACTGTTTTTGGTGAGATTCTTAAATTCCTGTATTTTATTGTGTATACATGACTTTTTCCCCTTCTTTTTGAGCTCTACTATATATTTATTTAATTTTATGGCTTAATATACAATTAAATGTTTAAATTATAATTAAATTAATTTTTGGTGTTAAAGAAATTTCATTAATAATAAGTATTTAAAGTTTTTTGTTATATTTTTAGGTATTAATGTTAAAAAATTTATTAAATAAAATGTGTTACATATGAATATATTTTAAAAAATATTTTAAATAATATTTTATTTAAAAAAATCTGGACAGCACGGGTTATTTAACTGTTTTTCTTCATATAATGAATAAAATTTGGACACTTATTTTTAATAAAAAAAATCTTTATACATTAAGATATATTTTGAGATATTTTAAAAAAAATTTGTATTAAGCTTAATTTTTTTATTATTAATTTTTGGTTTGTTAATGATAAGCAAAGCACCATCCAATTAATGGATTAATAAAAAAAGCCAAAATGCCAATGCCAGCTAATTCATTGTTTTAGTGTAATAATTGAAGCTGATAAACTCCCCTACAAGCCTAACTAATCACTTCTTTGGCACTAATGTTGGTTTAATTCCTTGGAGTGGAACCAAAGGAACTTCAAAATTGTGTCGGCAAAAGGGTCAGGCAAATGATCTAGTTTGCGACAAAGATTTGTCACATGGGTGTATAACGTTTAAATGCGATAAATAAATGTAAGATATAAACCCTAATAAACGCTTAAATGCAATAAATACATGTAATTCCTTTTATTTTTCATATGGCAATGTATTTGCATAAATATGAACATAGAATCGGCGTAATGCGAGGTGTTTTTATGAGCGAAACATGCTCACGACATGTGCCCTTGATTAAGTAGCCCTTGCCTTGACAGTCGCAGCGCATGTGCCTCCGTGGCCCTACATTTTGAAGTGCACCCACTCCCCCTAGCCCCACCCCTCAAATGGCTTGCATGTGCCATCCCCCCTTATTTAACCCCTTAAAAAATGTAAAAAAAATTGTTCCTCTGATTATATTGTATTTATTTATTTATTGATAATATAATATAATTTTCATTAGTCGAATAAATATTAAAATTTAAAAAATAAAAAAATTTATTTTTATTGAAATATTATTCTGATAAATATTATTTTAAAAAATAATATATATCTCAAATTAATTTTAAGATTAATATCATTTTGTGTCACGCAAAATAAACGCGTGTTACACTCAAATATACTTTTGAAAGCATGCTTTATAAGTTGTATTTTTTATCGTAAGAGTTTGATTTTAGGTTAGACTAAGATGGAAGAAAAAGGCGGTAAGTTTAGAATATGTATTTGAAAACTCAAAATTATAATATATTTAATCATGAGTTTTTCGAATCTTACATTGTTTAAATGTAATTTTTTACTTATTTAAATATACTATTTTAAAACATTCATGTATTGGATGATCAAATATAACATTTATATATGTGCTCCGTTATTTATGTTCAATTCGTGCTCGTACAAAAACATATCTTCCATACATCACGTAAATTTGTTCTTTTTAATCAAAATCATATAACTTTTTATATTTTTGAACTTTTTTTTTTATTTCTTTGATTTTAATCTAACTTTCAAATCATTCTTACCAAAAACATCTTATAATAATTGCATTAAATATAAACTTCTTTTTCACAAGGATGTCATTCTGATAACTAATATATAACAAAAATTAATTTGAAAATTATTTTTTAGCTAATAACAATTTGACCTAGTGAGATGAGACATTAAATTTTTTAAATAAAATCAATAGTTTCAATCTTAACAAATTAGATTAGAATGATCGCTTTATAATAAATTTCTACAAAACTCTACTTTAGATTAATGAATAATTAAAGATAAAAACTTACTATTACTGTTATTGGACCACAAATGGGGGCAAAGGGCAAAATGATCACTCAAAGGGGAGGAATCTCTTCTCTCTCTCTTTTTTTTTCACATTTAAGGGGGCTAACACGTGTGTTAACATGAAAGTCAAGCTGTATGATTTTGGGATTGGGACATGTGGGACGCTGGTCATGAGAAGTTTAGAAGAAGCCCCCATTTTGCAATTTTTATAATATGTTATTATCAATCAAAGGACCACATGACCTTGTTCTTTTGTGGGGGATGTTTTTGTATATTTCTTTAGTCCAACAATTCACATTATTTTTTAATATTTTTTTCAACGCTTTTCCTTCCAATTCACCATATACTCACATGCAACCATGTGCCCTCATTAAACAAAAACAATGCGAAAGCAACTAAACAAAAAACATGCCACGACCTACTTTTTCTTCAACTAACAAGTGTATCTTTTGCAATTACCTCAAGTAATCGGCGCCCCTTGTCTTGAAACAAATACATAAATATTAAGAGAGTAAACGTTGAAGGTTAAATAGTAAAAAATATTATTAAACATTTATTATCTTGTATTGAATTATATTAATAAAAAAATATTATCTTATATATAAAAATATCTTATGTTTTACCTTTTTACAATTTAAATTAAACAGAGAGACGAACCAAACGATTTTGGTAGTAAATGAATTATTGTTGTTTCTTAATGTCTCGGGTTTGAGTACTAAGAAGGTTAGGAGTGTGAACATTTAATGTTAAATAATTGATAGTTATTTTTAAATATATTTTATCTTGTACTTACTTCATATCAATAAAAAAAATTAAACATAATCGTTATTTTCTGTATTCAAAATATTCGAACAGTAAACTAAATTAACATAGATGGATGGAAAACTACATGTCTTTGCAAAACAAGATGCTGTCTTGTCGGTCCCTTCATTCTCCTTATACTCTAAGGAATTGATGGATCGGGATTTCTCCAACATTACCTTTATTCAGGTGATTATATATTCACTACATTTTGGCATATATACACACTCGATGGAGCCCTAAATTTCCCACTTTTCTCCTTTCGCTACCTTACAATTGTTTCCAGTTATCAAAGGAATTCAAATTAGCTTAATATGTCTAGGGTTTGTTCCGTCTATTTTGGGGTTTGCTTGAAGGTGGTTGATACATGACGCTGACCCAACTTGCATTGCATGAGACAAGGTGAGAGCCTGAGCGAGGCCCCCACTCTTTTGGAACCATATTTATTACATATATGAATTTATTCTTGTTTCTTATGCTTCTTAAAAACACTGTTGTTGTTAGGATATGATCGATATTATGGTTATACATATTATTTTTAATAAATGCGATCTTACTCTTCAATATTCTTTCGATCCATCCCTATTTGATACATAATATATGAATGAGTGTGTGCGTGTAGATATGGATGGATGATGGAGCTACAAAAGAAAACAAAGGACAGAAGGAGGTCAGGCGAGCAGGTGGCGGGGCAAAGAAATTCCATTATCTCGACCCGTTGTTTTCTTTCCCTTGTTAAAAGTTTGCGACACGTATGTCCTTCCAGCGTGGTGACGTTGTATGTGTACGGTTGTGCCACGTGTTACCTATTTTCATGTCAGCAAACAATATTCATATGCAACTAGCTCTTTTCGTTGGATCAACCACCGTATATTCTCCTCCTCCCATTGCATTACCATGGCTGTGCATACGACAACCGCCAAACCCAATCCCACCCTTCATTTTTTTCTCTCACAATTATTTCTCATCACTAGCCACAAAGCTGTCTCGTGATTATATTTATACTAAAACACGAGTCACCTTAGTTGTGAAAAAAATATATATTTTGAAAGATTTAAATTCAAATAGTTATGTCTGTGGAATATATTTATATTATAAATATATTTAAAAAATTATAATTCTAATTTAATAATAGCATTATTAAAATTTAATACCTTATTTACATATATAATTGTACATACACAAATTGATATGGTATTTAACACCTGATCTAATGTCTTAATTGTTAAAAAAATAAGAATAACATAATAATTATATCTTGAGATCACAAATAAAATGCTTTGAAGTTTGAGATTAGTTTAAGTTAGTTAAAGGACTTTTGATGCAATTAACCCAAATTGCTTCACTGGTTTGAATTAACAGGCTTCAAAGTTGAAACCTGGAATTCCTTGCTTTGTATCTCGACTTCATGATGTTTGCAAACAAAGATGTAGGGAGCAATAATTGACGAAACAAATCGCTTTTGAGTTGTCAAAGGGGCCAACCGCCATTAGGGTTAGGGGAGGAAGGCCCCAACAGAGGGGGGTTGGGGGGCCCTAAAGAACAAAGGTAGGGAGGAAGAGGACAAAATGTATGTCAAACAAACAGGAGAGGGACGGGTGGGTTCCTTGGCAGTTTGGCCACACATGGTGGGAGTTAAGGGTGGCGGTGTGTTATAAGATGCACTATAAATGGAAGTCCTGGCCTCCTTCTCAAGCACACAACTATTGTCCTAATTATGACTGCTTTATCTTCTGACAAAAGATAGTTTCAACATCTGATAAGCATCTACTGGGGACATCTTCCCACACGTGGATGGATCCTTGGTGGCTTCGATTATGACCCTTCATCTCGTGCAAAGGCCAGAAGGGATATAAAAAACATGCACAAATCCCATACCGAAAACAAAAGTGATCAGTGACGGATCTAGAAATTAAAAAATAGAGATCCAAAATTTTAATATCCTATTCTAAATAAATTTGGGTATACAACTTTTCTTATTTTTTTCTATTCCTATTAACAAATTAAACTAAATTTAATATTTTTCTCAAAATAATAAGTGTAAAATGACTCTCCTAGGGAGTCATGTACATCCGCCCCTGGTACGTAACCTTTTAAAAAACGGTGACCAAAATAAGACAGACCAGAAACAAATGGGACCACTAGTGTAGTTTACCCTTATTTTTTATTGTTGAGGCATCTTTACTGCAACTGGTAGCAAATTAGAGTAACTACATATAACTAGCTATGGAAGAATGGATTTTTTGGCACTGGGATACACAAGGTCCTGGGTACTGATGAAGTTCTCAAATGGCTGTCGGATTGTACAGTAGTTTCTCCGGGGCAGCCGGTACTATTATCAACAGTCGACATATCTTAAGAAACTAGAGTTGCAAACTGCAATTAAATACTCAGAAATTTGATTAAAACACCAATTTTCGGTACTCATTCTCGAGGCAGAAATGAAAAAAAGGGCTCTAACAGCAACATCTTTCTATAGCTCCAAAGAACTAGACTGATTAATTAGGCCTTGGATGGTTCAGCCCTCGGCCTCCACAAACCCAACCTATATTTGTGTGTATATTTCAGTATCAGCTTTCTCTGCAAGACAGGAATAAAAAACCATGAGTGGCTAACCCAATCCCAGTAGAAGCGAAGTGACAATTCTACAAATATATATACTTAAATAGCAAATTTTTTTACACCCTAAAAAACAAGACACTTTCATTGGATAACGAGAGTGCATAGGCATCGCGGATAAAACTACCACAATACAGCAAAATTCTTAGTAAAGATAATTCAACTCGGCAGATATCAAGACTATATGCCGACATTCTACTCTGTATAACAATCAGATAATTAGTAATCAGTTGATGATAAACCAGTGCATTGCATGCTATATAGCTAACGCAAGAAGATTCTTCTCTACAAGACATTTAAAAGTGCAGAATTATCTGTGCTCATGCCAATGTCCTTTGAGAAAGATGAGAACACACTTTCAGGCTCTGCTTGCTATGAACAACAGAAAACATCGGTAGAGGAAAATTTGTTAATCTAGTGGTTAAGCTACAAAGTTAGAAAGTGGTTATGAATCTTAAATATTTGATTAACAAATTTCACGTCCTCCTTGCTCATTTCCTTCCTTCGTACCAAGTAAAGACTAAACTATGGCCGCTAAACCATTCTATTCTATCCCGCTCATTCAAACTATTTGTCAGCTTAAGCTTTGGAAGATCCTAAGTGGCACAGGCTAATGAACTACTCAAGCTAATTTAAACAAATAATAAACACAGCTTTAGACTAAGGCCATAAAAGAACAGAATAGAAATAGTTCAGTCAGATGCGATTCCAGTTCGATAAACAACATGCTAGAAGTCTATATCGTAAACTAAGGGCAACATTGTGGGGGCATTAAAAAAATTAGCATACATAAATGCTATCAGCAATGCTGCATAACTAGGTAATCATAACTGCACAAAAGTATGCAGTTACTCAACATAGGCATACATATTAAACAAAATTTGTGTTTCAGAGTGCGAGTCGGGAATCATTACATGTTTGCAAGGAATTCCAAGTTTCTTGAGCTTAAGAGTACGGGCGACGAGCAGTTTCTGAAAGTCACCAATCTCAGATTCCAGCTTTGCTACATGAGTTTCAACCCCATTCCCTACTCCATTCAGAAATTCTGGTATTCCAACCTTCTCTGCAACAATAACAAGGTCACTTCTCAAATTCAATTTAATTAATTTCAAGATTACAATGATAAAAAAGATTATAATTGCTTTTGGGAAAATAAATTCGCCTTATGATACTAACTTAGCTTGTAGACATGAAAAAGGACTAACTTCATGCTAAGTCTGTATATGTAGCTATTTTAAAAGATATTTCTCAAGAATCCCTAATAATTTAACAACATGAATTGAAAAGCCCATTTAGGATTTAGCTAATCAGTCAAGTTCACTGGACTGAGAAAAAAGATCTGATTTCCCCCCTATAATACTCATTATTCTGAGCACAACTAGAAGCCTGAAAAAACTAAAACAAATGAGATTCTATTAGTTTCCCAGGAACCAAAAGGAACTACGGTGATATTTCATTTTTAATGTTCTTGCTATTGTTTAAGAAGGAAAGAGAAGACCTTACCAATAAATGAACTTGACTTGGAGAAGAACCTCGAGAACACATATGGATTTGAAAAAGGAATTGCCTTTGTGCTGTTAAGAACTTGCATCAATGCCATGGTTAGGTTTTCTGTCTAGTTGTCAACAGATTGTTGGGTTATTTCGAGGGGAAGACGAAGTTTTGGGTACTCAAACAAAACTCCCCAATTTAATTAGGCCAGAAGTTCGACAGGTGTTTTTCCTTGAAATAAAAATAAAAATAAAAATAAAATAAACTACAAACCCTGGTCTCTAAAGTTATAGTGTTTTTATTTAAGTCATTACATTTTCAAAAGATATGTTCTGATCACTAAAACTATCGATAAATAACAAAATAATCACTCGGACACATTGCTAAAACATCAATTTGGTTCTTAAGAACATTCTCTAACTCTAAAAAAATTAAAAACTCCATCTTTAATAACAAAACCTCCCATGGTGACATCTATAACATCTTTCTATAATTGATCCTCATCTTTAATGGAGATGTCTTCAATGTAATTGTCTAATGTACCAAGGGAAAAAAGCTATCATAAATTCTAAAGGATAGTTCAAGCAAATTATACGAATCAAATCTATACTCATGCTACAGTTTATATATGATACTCAAAGATGTTCAAAATAATAGAAAAATTCTACGTTCTACCTTGTTTGAAAGCAAATGATCAATTAACCCACTTTGTTCCATTATCCTATTAAGCTATACGAGAGAGCATCCCTATGTTTAACATGTGTAAACAAAAAATAGTCGCAAAATCGTTTTTATTCTCGATTTAAACTTCATCACAATGAAGGTTAACAGAAGCTTCCAAAGATCAAATAAACAGTCAATGTACCAAAATTAATTGAACAAAAAGATATAAAATTCTTACCCCTTTGAGTAAATGATGTATGATTATCCCTATATCATGATATATTATTATTGTATCTCTTTCGGATCTCATCCATAAACTATACTTCCACCGATCGAAACCTCCGCTGTTAATCATGGCGAAAATAAAAATGTCATAAATGTACACCTAGGTCTCCATGTCTAGTGGTTAAAGAGAAGAAGTTGAATTTTCTTGTTATTGTTAAACATTCTTCATCAAAACAATATAAAAGATCAAAATTCATATATTAGTTTCCAACCAATACCAAATAAAGTAACTTATATGAAATAGTCAAAACTTATGAAAGTTACTTGACGAGGAAAATAAAATGGAGGAAAATGAAGTTTTCTTAAATTCTTCATCATACCTCTAATATATACGATGTTTGAGCTCGAGACCTGAAGGGTTAACAACAAATCCCTTAACCAATGAGATATTAAACATTATTGTTATCATTTGAATGATCATTTTATTGTTTATCAATAACTTTAGTTATTAAAATATAACGTTTGAAACTTTAGTAATTAAAATAAAAGTTTACAAAACTATAATGACCATAAGTGTCATTTATCCAAAAAATAAGGCTCATTGGCCATTGTCGAGTCTGTCGAAATCTAATTACTTTTTAGATGATGATAATAAAAAAACCATTTATCACTTCACAAATCTTTCTCTAGTCTCTACCTTCCACGGCTCCGCCACTACCCGCCTTCGACGATCCCCCTTTCATTTCTTTTGTGGTGTCATTTCTACAAACAGAAGCCATACAAAGGGAAGCATTCAAAAGAAGAGAATGTCGCTTCGACCAGGTACTCGTACTGAGGTGAGGAAGAAGAGTTACAAAACGGGGGTCGATGCAGAGGAGGGCAGGAGGAGGAGAGAGGACAATTTGGTTGAGATCCGGAAGAACAAGCGCGAAGACAATCTCCTTAAAAAGCGGAGAGAAGGCCTTCTGCTTCAGTCTCAGCCTCCCTTGGTCGATAACACCCAAAATGCCGCCGCTATTGAAAAAAGGGTACCTTTTTTTTATTGGTTATGGGTTTTAAATATTTCGTTCTGATTTTTCTTTTTGAGTTATTGATTGATGGTGAAAGTTGAGATCTTGATTCAACTGAGATCGTTGCAGTGGTACTTTTGTCAAGATATTATTGCTGTTATTATTCAATTGGATTTTTTTATTCTCTTAAGATTAGGAAGAAATGAATGGATTCATGGAGATTTGGGTTATTGATTTTTATGCATACTTAAAGTAGGGTGAAAGAAGAGGGTTGAGGTTATGGATTTATGATTTAGGATGGCAGTATTCTCATATTCTATGATCTAGCTTGTAGCTTTTCAGGGAAGCCTGTGTAGGATTGCTTTCTACCAATAATGGGCTGTTTGGTTTATTTCTGATAAAATGGATGTAGTTAAGGAAAGGCTTTAGCATTTTAGATGTCACCTCTTTCGTCTTGCAGGGGATGGAAAAGGTGAAAAGTGTAGGGAGGGATTTTGATGTGGTTCTGATCCTTCTGAATTTTAGGCTTTTTTTTTATTTGGGTCCTGAACATGGTATTCCTGATGATTCCTAACAGTTGGAAAGTGTTCCTTTGATGGTACAAGGGGTTTGGTCCAATGATCCTGCTACCCAGTTGGAAGCCACAACACAGTTTAGGAAGCTGTTGTCAATAGGTCCTACTTCTATCTTCCTAATTCCTACACCTAGAGTGGTTTCTTTGTCAAGGAATATGCCCATTTACATTATTAACTTTCATCTTCTTACTTGTAGAGCGCAGCCCTCCAATTGATGAAGTAATTAAAGCTGGAGTTGTTCCTCGGTTTGTAGAGTTTCTCGGAAGGCAGGATTTGCCTCAATTACAAGTACATTGTTTTGTTTCTTTTGTTTAAATTGAAACAATTTGCATAGGAAATGTTATCATCACTGAGACTAATTATTACCATTGAGACTAACTTCCATTTGATTTTAGTTTGAGGCTGCCTGGGCTTTGACCAATGTTGCCTCTGGCACATCTGAGCACACACGGGTTGTTATTGAACATGGTGCTGCCCCAATGTTTGTGCAGCTGCTTAGTTCTGCTAGTGATGATGTTAGAGAGCAGGTCAGTTTTTGTTTTAATAATTCATCTGTATCTCCTGTACTTGTAACTGAAGAATGAAAAAAATTCTCTTACTTTCGATGAATCTCTGGTCATTACCGTTTTTAGTTCAACATTTTCTAGATGAACTTTATCTGTCACTTCATATATTTTATATCCTGTCCTAAGTTGCTTTGTTTGCTCCCACTTAGAGTAGTTTATGTTGGACTTAATTTCCATATGCTATATTTACTTGTCTGCTCATTTGTCTTTTCCTTGTCAATCATCATTTTATTTGTGTACATTGCCTCTAATTACTATCCTCACCCTATTTTCTGTTTAGGCTGTATGGGCTTTAGGTAATGTCGCAGGTGATTCACCAAGTTGTAGAGATCTAGTTCTCGGCAATGGTGCACTTATGCCGTTGTTAGGTCAGTTAAATGAAAGATCAAAGTTATCAATGCTGAGGAATGCTACATGGACATTGTCTAATTTCTGCCGTGGCAAGCCACCATCGCCATTTGAGCAGGTAGAGACTTTGGGAGGCTCCTTTTGAATTTTGTATAAGAGAAGTGTTCACAGTCATAGTTAGCTTATTATTGATTTTTTATAATTTGGTTGATGAGTTCTTGATAGCAACCTTGTTTTCTTTTCAGGTGAAGCCTGCTTTACCAATTCTACGCGAACTTATCCACTTGAATGATGAAGAAGTTCTGACAGATGCTTGCTGGGCGCTGTCTTATCTTTCAGATGGCCCTAATGAAAAAATTCAGTCTGTAATTGAAGCTGGGGTCTGCCCACGACTGGTGGAACTTCTAGGGTGAGCTTATAAACTCTACAAAATACTTGAAATCCAATTACCCTTAGATTTTTTCCCTCGGGAATTTTTTTAGCATAGATATCGTGCACCTTCTCCTTGGCTACAGCGTATTATTTTTTCTTGTCACAAGGTTTTTATGTCTATATACTTTGTCATTTATTTTTGTTGAATTTTTTGCTATATACTTATTGCAATATTTTGACTACCGGTGCTGACTAAAATTCATTTATGCTAGCCATCCATCACCCACTGTTCTTATACCTGCTCTTCGGACTGTGGGAAACATTGTCACTGGTGATGATAATCAGACTCAGGTAAGAAGTACATTTATGCATGTTCACAGAGGTTTTCACATCAGTAGCGTTTTTCTTAGATGCTGGTTTATCTTCTTTTCTGTTATTTACTGGATTAAATTTATTTGCTTCATTTGGATTGTTCATGAAGCATAATCTAACTGTAAGGATATAGTAAACAAACTAATTCTTTTAAATGGTAGTATTTCAAAGTTCTATTGTTGTTGATTACAAAAAGATAAACTATTGTTGTAATTTTTTTTTGTTTCCTTTAAAAGCTGCAAAAATCCGGATGTATTTTTCAGTTTGTGATTGACAACAAGGTGCTTCTCCATCTCTCTCAACTTCTCATACAAAATCACAAAAAAAGCATCAAGAAAGAAGCTTGTTGGACTATCTCTAATATAACAGCTGGGAATAGAGCTCAAATACAGGTATAGGTTCTCTCTGTCCCTTCAAAGATTCTGTTGCCTCAATGTATGCAGCAACCAAAAGGTATAAGTATTTAATCTTCTTGGTCGGTTGCCCCGGAAGTGCCAATGTGGCTTTTATGTTTAGTGATGATTTCAAAGGTGTCGATAGCATGTTGCAAACTTTAGTTCATAGTAATTGAAGCATTGCTTTGCTTGCTTAAGCTGTGGTTTCAATTACTACTAGTTCTCATGCAGTATATATCAAATTAAAGGCACTCACACTGTTGTTGATTATTTGTTTGATTTCCTGTGGCACAGGCAGTTATAGAGGCAAATATTATTCTTCCTCTCGTGCACCTTCTTCAGCATGCGGAGTTTGATATTAAGAAGGAGGCTGCATGGGCCATCTCAAATGCAACCTCCGGAGGATCTCATGAGCAGATTAAGTATATCCTGTTACTTTTTTGTTTACATTTCAGTTTTTTTTCTTTATTGGACCATATATCTATGCATGTTTGCAAAAGACACATGAACACATGCAAACCTTCACCATAGATTCACTGGAGAATATATGCTGATATTTTTTCCAGATGCAAGATCAGAACCATGATGCATACATGTATTCTTGGATACTGATTGGTCCTGAGCATTTGGCGTACTCAACTAAATTAAGCTGGTTAACAATTATAAGTGCAGCCGATGTTTTTATTTTATGTTGCCTCCAATTGCTTTGTCATAAATATGATGAAAATACAATAGCTAATTTTTGGGGCATGCATTGCATAATAATTGTTCTGAACCATTTCAGTTAATCATATTCATGTGGTACAATGAGAGTTATATGATCTGTTATTTTGCAGATTCCTGGTGAACCAAGGTTGCATTAATCCCCTCTGTGATCTCTTAATTTGTCCAGATCCACGGGTTGTGACTGTGTGCCTTGAAGGGCTGGAGAACATCCTGAAGGTTGGTGAGGCTGATAAGGAAATGGGAATGAATGATGGAATCAATCTATTTGCACAAATGATTGATGAATGTGGTGGGTTGGATAAAATTGAGAACCTTCAAACTCATGACAACCATGAGATTTATGAGAAGGCTGTGAAGATCTTGGAGAGATATTGGGCTGAAGAAGAAGAGGATGAACAGCATCTCCAAGATGGGGATGAGAACCAGCAAGGCTTTAATTTTGGAACTAATCAGGCCAGCGTTCCACCTGGGGGCTTCAAATTTGGTTGAAGTGTTTAGTTTTGGAAAATTGGCTATAGTTTTTACGTCTTACTACTTTCCTCACGGTGAAATTTCTAGACTTGTGTTTGCTTTTTCATTGCTGCCAAAGTTGGGTTTTTGTTCTGGTGCATAGACGCATGATCTTTTTCTTTTTCGGGTGTGGGGCAGATAACTCAAGCTTGAAAGGTTTTTAAATTTTATTTGTATTTCTATATTTCTTCCTACATTCCATCGGAATTATTGCATGTGATAGTTATGAAGTCTGGAATTAGGATTAATGTATTTCTTGCACTACTGTAGCATAGGCATTGATGTGGGGGGGCATGTCCTGTTGTAAAACAGAGAGGTGCTGGCCAGGCAAGTGGTAGTAATATAAAAACTGTTACCATCTTATGGTGCAATGTGATGAAATGAATTCATGCCTATTCAGCTTTTGTTTTCGTATTTTTAAGTTTGTTTCCTTGTTTGTCTTTCCTCCATGGCAGCTATTTACCTCATGTTTGTTAATTGAGTATCCAAAGACTTGAACTCGTCTCTTTCAATGAAATTGTTTGATTGCTTTTAGGTGATATTTTTGGATGATAGATTTGCTTGTTAGGGGGTCTTTGGTTCACAGAATCTAGAATTATCGTTGCAGCTATCTGGAAGGACTTCACAGTTGTACGCACATGGGATTCCTCTTGTCACCCTCATTTCCTTCTCTTCACAAAATTATGACTCCCTAAGTGTTGCTTGTACTTCCTCTCTAGGTCTCTCTGTTTCCATTCCATTTACTAGGATATGCAACTTGTTCTACCTCTCAAACTTAAGATTGGTCGCAACAGAGTTTTGTCTGCTTCAAAACTTGCTTTACTAGGATAAGCTTCAGGTCATTTGGTAGACTGTAATCTTTCCAATCTTGTTATGCTTTGCTGTATTTTTAAGGGGGTTTTGTTTTGATGATCTCCATGTTTGGTACCTGGTGGCATGGAACTTTTGCTGCCAACTGTGCGCATGCGGTGAGAAGGCTCGAGTCAGGTCTTGGAAGACGCTTTTGGTTTTTGCTTTTGCTTTTTTCCTAGGGGTTTAAGTGCATACCCGAGGCTGTTGGAGTTTCTTCCAAGAGCAAAGCCTAGGAACTTTATTCCTCTCTGTACTTCTAATGTTTGGATCTTGCGGTTTGCTGGGGCGCTGTTCCTTAAGGCACGAGTTGTCTTTTGTTGGAATTTTTCTCTGCTTGCTTCGCTTATTCCGCTACTTTGTACAAATAGATAAACTGGGACGAAATTTATTACATATATCGTAAGACGACTTTAAATGATTATATTAAACTCATATAATTCTATCTATAATTCGTTAAATCAAATTATTACATTAATTTTTTTTTAATTTCATATTAAGATATCAACATTTAATTCAATGATAGTGTGTAAACCTATAGACAATACATCAAATATTGATCATATAATATAATAAATAAAAAACATATCCAGAATATAAATCAATAATTCTCTCAAGACTTTTAAACTTTTATGATTATAATAATATTAAAAAAGATAACATTATTTTAATCCTAATTAATATCGAATACCAAGTTTAATCTCAATCAACTTTTCCTTAATAAATACTCCCTAAATTCTAAACCCTAATAAGTAAATAACTTCTGTCAGAATTTAGCTTCTCTACATCTCTAGAAATATCAAATCATAAACCCTAATAAGTCAACATCTTCTGTCAAGGCTTAAGCTTTTCTCTCTAGATTAACATGGAGCTGTCAAACATTGAACACATACCGAAGAAGGTGACATGGTGTTTAAAAAACATAAAACTTTTTTCGTGCTTTATCGCATGATTCGATTGATTTGTCAGTCAACTGTTAAACATCATAAAGTTTGTTTCTTTATTTTTCCTTCCTTAATGTCGTTGCAGAAAGTTCAATAAACATGAATTCTCTTAACTGTATTCATTGTTTAGTTATATAGAAGTCATGTTTCATGTTATTTCTCTTACTCGAAAGTGTCTTCATGGCTTGTATTTTGAAGAATCAGTTTCCTTTTTCCAGGAACGTGATGAGAATTCGATGGATCGGATAAGTGAATTGCCTGAAGAACTGCTTGTGCGTATTTTATGTTCTCTATCCCTAAAGGAAGCGGCGAGAAACAGCGTCGTTTCACGAGTATGGCGAGGTTTATGGAAGTTCATCACCTGTAGTCTAAAGTTTGAAGCTTCACAGACGTTTCGGCCGAATCTCAAAGAGCTGCGGAAAGAGAGGGGTTGCTATGTAGAATGGGTTACTCACGTTCTGAACTCACATGAAGCTCCAACTATAGATGAGTTGAGAGTTTCTTTTGATTTAACTCAACGACATAGTCATAACATCGACCGATGGATCGGGATTGCATTAATGAAGAGGGTTAAAAGGCTTGAACTTGATTTCACACCATGCAGATTGATTCACTGGAACGACGGTGGACATTACGTGTTTGCAGATCGATTTTGCGGTTCACCCGACATTAAATTCCTTACTAGTCTCTGTTTCAAACATGTCGAAGTGAGCGGTACGGTTCTGGAGACTTTCCTTTCCGGTTGTCCCTTACTCGAAACGTTGCACGTCTCACACTCACCATCGGAACGGCTAACGAATCTGAATGTTTGCGGTTCATCGCTGAGGCTGAAACACCTGCTTATATCTTTCTGCAATGCGATCAAGAGCATTGAAGTTCATGCACCAAATCTGGTTTCTTTTGAATATAGTGGAGATGAATCTATAGCATTGCGTATAGGACTGAAATATGTTCCCAAGCTTCGTGATGTATCTTATGGTATACCTTACGGGGCACCATGGGACTCCATTAAAGGTGACTTCAACTTTTGTCAAGCCTTTCCAGCTGCCTATCGGTCTGTGTTTCTCAACTGGTGAATCTGTCGTTGCAGTTCAAGGCCGACATAAGTGTAAGTTACTCTATTTAGCTGACTGATATGTGTGTGTCCTGTTTCGATTTGATTTTATGGTTTAAGTAACGTTGGACGTTTGTTAATTCGATTTGAAGATCCGGGGGTGTCCGACATTACCGAACCTTCGATATTTGACTTGTAAAGTTCGGGATTTATTGCTTCTATCAAAAGGAGGGCTTATAAATTTGATGTCCCTGGTTGATTCTTCGCCTTTGCTGCATAAATTCAGAGTTGAAGTAAATGTCTTAACTCTAGCTGGTATGATTATATATGCATGCATTGCATGATCTAAGTGAACATCATATGTTATCAGCTGGAACAAGGTTATGCAATTAGACTGAAGAAAGGAAGCGAAGCCATCGGGCGGTTGATCGATGAAGTGACGACGATGATAAACGACGACGGAAAACGATCAAAGATGCTGAACTTGAAGGTGGTGGAGATAGATGGCTTTGTTGGGGCTAAAGCAGATATTGCACTCCTTGTTTACTTGTTTTATACTGCTTTAAACCTTGACAACATTGTGATCAACACTTGCCCTCCTCAATGGGACTGTCCAAACCTGTTTGATGTACAACGAATGAGACAAGAAGATGCTAGAATGCTTGCCTATTATCTCATCCTGGAGCATCGACCTCAAGGACTTAAATGTCTGGTGCTCTGATCAATCTGTTCCTTTTTTTTTATGAACTATTAGTACATTAATTAACTATCAGAATGCTCAATTCCTTTTTATTATAGTTCAAATGTTTTTTATTAGTGATTACCATGTAACATTTGTTTAATTTTTTAACTAATTGATATGAATGAGTATACATTTTACAAACGTAGATATTTAAATTCGAAATCTCTAGAGAAAATAGTACTTCATTATATTACTAAAATCACTTGATAAATTCAAAAATCATCAAATATTTTTTACTACTCCGAGGTGATTATAAAATTGTATTTGTTTAAAACATTTTTAACTAATTGACGATGTATATATACCCTATAAATACAACTATTAAACTTAAAACTTAACACGTAGACCACTAAAAGCGTTAAATTTAAACACTAAAATATATAGTGACAAAATTTTAAACTCATAGCTAATAATTCTGTCAATATTATATCGATGATAATTATTCTAGAAATGAACACAAGTGTTACTAACTGAATTTAGAGGTTAAGAAGAGTTTAAGAACACTTCCTAAGGCTTAAACTATCAGAAAAATGGATCAAAACACCTAGGTCTCTTAAACCTCTACAAAACTCATTTGTGACAACCATGATAAAATAAGAAGATTGAAGGCTTGAATTGAAGCTTTAGAGATGGAGGTTAATATTTTTACTTTTAAAATGTAAAACTAGTATTGCTGGAGATAAAGTTCCCACCTTTGACCCAGTTACAAAGGAAAATGAGGGGAGTTTGAGAGAATAAGAAGACAAAGTTATGGGGAAAAAAGTATGAACAATGGCCAGACGAGATCACCCTTCCTTTATGGGTTTTCAGCTATTACTTTGAAAAAAATGGTATAATCACCCCCTTGGACCTCCTAACTTTGGTCATAATTCAACAACACCCCTTTTTGCCAACTATTGGGTCCAAACCAAGCCAATTCCACTCAAATTTAGGTCAAAGTTTCTACAAGCTATTGGGTTTATCCAAGGCCCTCTCGGGTTAGTCCAAAGCTCATAACCCGAGATTTGGGGTGTTATAGAGAATTTAATTGTGAGAAAACTTTAATTATCATAGTTATTACAATAACAATCAAAAAATAAAAATACATCACAATCATTTTTATTAATAGTGTCATACAAAATTTTATCACCAAAAAATTAATATTTGTGACAAAATTACTATTAGTCACTATCAATTTACTAAAAAAACCTTTACTCTTGTAGTGATACTTGTAACGTAACTTAAGACTGTCACAAGTGTACCATTATAAAATGGTAAACTTACTATTGAAAAAAAATATTATTTTCACAATTATAAATAATAACAATGATTACTTAATATGTTATAACAATTACATTGATTCATGTTTAAAAAAAAATTGATGTTAATTCAAGCATTTTATTAGTGACCAAATACAAGTATGACATACTTATTTATTTCAATAGTGACAAATATATTATTGTCACAAATCACTAATTAAGATTAGGACAAAAACAATTATCGTCACAAATTACCAACTGAGGCTAGTGACAAAATATTTTCGTCACAACCATAAATAATAATAGCGACTACTTAATATATTGTCACTATTACATTTTTTCCGAGAAAAAAGTTGACATCAATTCGAGCATTCTATTAGTGATTAATTGATAGTGATAATTTGCTTTGATCACAATAAAATACTATTAGTGACAATTTACTTGTGATTAATTTTAAAATAATCATAACTATTATATAAAGAATAACCGAATAAAAATAAGTAACAAATACTCATTTTAATAATAACAAAAATATTTTATTATAATAACAGACGTTGTATAATGGATTCTCTAATGTAAAAATTAAATAGTTACTAAAAATCTTAATTTTTGGGTGAATATTAAATGCAGAACATAGGATGTGAGTAAAGTTACCGTCTTTAAAAAGTTATCGTAAAAATTTGGTCGGTTAGTCCATTAAATGAAAGAACGTTATCCCAAAACATATATGGTATATTGGGATATTTCATCATCTTAATTAATGCAGCTGTGGGTTGTCCTAACTAACTTAACTAGAAAGTTTGAAAATAAAAAGAAATGGAATGTTCTAATTGGACCGTTAATTCGATCAGAGAACTCAAGTGTCGATCACCGGCTTCTGAATATGGTGGTGACATATGGCAGGCGGTAGTACCACAGCGTCGACACGCAAAAGATACAGTGGACCCCACGATGACTTTTGCCGATGATTTCAAAAAAGAATTAATTATCGACGTCTATGAGGAAGCCATGTGGCGTGAAGGGATGTATCACAGTGGACCCAGTCTTCAACAGTGCGCCAGGTTGGTGCTGCTCTGATTGTATTTTGGTCATAAAAGTGATTGGGCCAACGCGTTTTCTGTATTCCTATATAAACACGACCGCTGCACCCAACACAACACTACGAGCTTTCTATTGCATAACACGAAATACCAAAGCAGACATCAATTTTCCTTAAACAAAACACTAAACTAAAAACTCTCGTACCTTACCCTTTTACTCGAACATGGCCCCTAACATCACCGGTACCAAAGCTGCCAATCTCACCGCCAAAGCTCCAATCCCTCCCAAAAGGTCTTACGTGACGTTCTTGGCGGGGAACGGTGACTATGTCAAGGGCGTGGTGGGGTTAGCCAAGGGACTCAGGAAGGTCAGGAGCAAGTATCCGCTCGTGGTGGCTCTTTTGCCCGACGTGCCGGAGGATCACAGGAAGATACTTGTGGAACAAGGTTGCATACTCGAGGAGATCGAGCCTGTGTACCCACCCAGAACCAGACCCAGTTTGCCATGGCCTACTATGTCATCAACTATTCCAAGCTTCGTATCTGGGAGGTATATTTTATTACTAATATCTTTGAATATTCTGTTTAGGAATTTCAGTCTCCAAAATGAATCATTTTCTTTCTTTTATGTACAGTTTGTGGAGTATTCCAAGATGATATACTTGGACGGGGACATCCAAGTGTTCGAAAACATAGACCACTTGTTCGACATGGAAGATGGTTACTTTTATGCAGTGATGGATTGCTTCTGTGAGAAAACATGGAGCCACACCCCACAGTACAAGATTGGCTACTGCCAACAGTGTCCTAACAAGGTCCAATGGCCTTCTCAGCTGGGTCCTAAGCCTCCTCTTTACTTCAACGCCGGCATGTTTGTGTATGAACCCAGCCTTTCCGTGTATGAGGACCTGTTGAACACCCTCAAAGTTACTCCTCCTACCCCATTTGCGGAGCAGGATTATCTGAACATGTACTTTAGGGACGTTTACAGGCCCATTCCTCCAATCTACAACCTGGTGATGGCCATGCTATGGCGCCACCCTGAGAACATAGAGCTTGAAAAGGCCAAGGTTGTTCACTACTGTGCTGCTGGATCCAAACCCTGGCGGTATACAGGCAAGGAAGAGAACATGAACAGGGAAGACATTAAGATGCTGGTGGCAAAATGGTGGGATATTTACAATGATGAGTCGCTTGACTACAAATATGCTGTGCCCAATGGCGAAGCAGAAGCTGATGAGGATGACCAAGCTGGCCTGCAACTGCAACAGTTTTTCGCAGCATTGCCGGAGGCCGGAATTGTTCATCATATTAAAGCCCCATCCGCTGCTTAATTTGGTGGATGATATTAATATTATAAGTTACAAGACAACACAACTAAGTTGTGCCAGAGGGTATTAAATGTGTTGTTTTTCTTCCTAGTTGTATTTGATTTGTCCCTGCAATTTTTTAGGAAAGGGCAGATGTTATGATTTGTTGTCTTGATAGTTATTTCTATGGTTTGCAGATTTGTAAATGTGGACATTTTAATACCAATGAAGTAATCTCAACTTGACAGTTTATTTGTTTTTTTCATTAATCTTAGAATATGTTAATTTTTCTCAAATTTATTTCTAAATTAAAATTTTATTTTTTATAACACGATATTTCAAAACTATTTAATATAATTATTTAAAAAAATTTAAAATATAATCACATAATCTAATATTATTATGGTATAAAAAAATTAAAACTTCAAGTATTAAAATAAATTAAAATTCTAAGTTTTAAAGATCAAATATTACATCATCCATTACTATATATTGATATGTGGATATGGGTTGTGACATTTATTAATTTATATGCTACAAGCAACCCCAAAGTCTAAGCTAATGTAATGTAATCTTACCCCACCAAAGAAGAAATACGAACTTAGTTTTCCACCTTTTATATTTAAAATTCATTTCTTTTATTATTTGTTTTCATATAATCCATTAACATCCCAAAAATATGGACAAGCTTGACCCTTCTTTCTTGTCCATCATTTACTATTCACCTCTACCTTTGAAATAATTTAAAGAAGTAACATCAAGACATAATTCTCTTTAAGGTATTATTGTTAGGTTAAAATTAAATTAATCGATCAAACTGTATTAATTTTAAATAATGGATAGATTTAGAATTTTGTAAGGAGCATGAATTTCTTGAAAGTTATACTATAAAAATAGGATATGTAAAATTTTAAAATTTTAAAAGTGTGAAATTAAATCATCAATAAAAATTATAAAACAATATTTAAATTATATGAGACTTTCAAAAAAATTCATTCATCATCTCTCCGTCGATATCTAATCACTTATTGAATTAATGTTTACACATCCAAGTTATTTGGATAATAATTTATTTCTATAAATAGTATTACATACCCTTGTACACCTTCACTTAATAATTAGCTGACTCTATTCACATATGTAATGGGATAAAGGGGAGCTAGGGTAGTAGGCTGCCCCCAACTCCAGGTTGAGAGCAGCTTCCGTGGAAGACCTCCATTATGAATTGACCTCAATAGAACACCATCACTTAATATTTATATAAATAGTTAATGGTGTGTGATAATAAATTAGAAAAATTTATAAGGTACTCAATGTATACTTATATTTACTTAAAAATATAATCGTAATTTTTAATAAATCATAATTTAAATTTAAAATTTTTCAAATATTTATTTTTTAACTAGTTCAAATAATAACCTCAATTTAGAAAATCCTATTTTTTAAAAATAAGTTTTTATTCTCTCATCGTCGCTGCCCACAACAACGTTGTCGTCATCAGTTTCGTCTTCCTCCTTCGATTGAATCGTTGCCGTCACCGTTGTTTGCGTAAACAACATGTTAAGGTAAGCTAGATTACTTTTATTTTAATTCAAATTTTATTTTTCGTCCAAGCCGTCACCGGAGGGTGGTGGCTGACCGGCTGTTGGCACTTTTACTGATAGTGGTCGTGGTTGCTGGCGTGAGACTTCCCCTCTAATTGTTTTTCCCCTATCCCATATTTTCTAAACCTTAACCTTAACCTTAACCCTAACTTTAAAATTCCTCTAATTGTATAACTCGAATTCCTTAATAGATTTCCAAATTTCTCTTTCTAGAACCCAATTTAAACAATTGATCCTTAATTTTCTTGTTGAATCTGGTTTATTTCAATCCAATTCCCGATTCCCAATTTGCAATTCGTGTAGGGCATACTGGTACACCGACAATATGTACCAGTACTCGTGTGACAAAGTATCGATACCTTGTGTGTAATGGTACCTTAATTGCGAGCTGTTTTTTAAATTAAATGTTGTGTACCGATATACTCAGGCTGTGTATCAGCACGATACACATATTCACACTATTCAAAGAAGACCAAGAACGAGGTACATTCAATATAAGTAACTGAATTTGAATATTAATGATGTGTTTGTTTTGTTGGTGTATTTTTTTAATATTATTGTTTTATTTTTATGTGTTTTATATATATAGGAAAAAAACTAAAGTTGTTTATGAGGAAAATATTAGAACTTTTTGTCTGAGTGATCACAAGTTCGAGACACTCATTCATTCGGTGCAAAAAATTGAAAAATAATTTGCTATAATGCATGGCTAGTTTGAAATTTTAAAAGGACAAGTTGAAATATTAAATGGCCAATTTGGGAAATTAGTGAGCATATTAACACAGAGTAGTGTTAAAAGTTCAATACAGGATGGTGATTCAGTAAAAGGAAAATGTATATGTAGTCAATCATTAAAGGAGGATTCTTTAAATAATATATCAGAAGTGATAAATTTGCATAGTATTCCATTGAAAGATGAGAGTTTTAAAAATAAATCGGACATGGAAGAAGGATTAAGTGTCATACCATTGAAGGATCAAACCAAGAGTGGTTTTAAAAAATTGAGTTTGTATCCTTTTATTAATTGTGATTGTGATTATCCTTCTCCCTCATTAGATCGTAGTGACAAAAGGAAACTTGATGTTAACTCTGAAGACAACATCAAGACTGATAGTGAAGATTTTCCAAAAATTCTAGTGGAGGCTTTTAACTTTCAATTTAGTCTTAATCAATTTCCTAGTCAATTAGTTACGTTGAAGGAAACTCCAATGGTTAAAAAGTTGGTCCTAAAATGTATAATGCTCCTATAGCTTTGTCAAAGATGAATGAGTCTCAATAGAGAAAAATTCGGAGGTGTTCGACCGCACGGTTAGATTTTACTGATGATCCGAAGTTGAAAGATGTGGCATCGAAAAAAAGAGCTAGAACATCTAAAGTGAATACCAATGTATGTATAAATCATTTTTTGGATACATTTCTTGTTAAAGTTTAAGTTTAATGTTGTAAATATGTTTGTAAGAGTTATGTCTTGCATGCAGTATAAATATAAGCCAAGTGATTTGTCAGCAGAACGTTCCAAAAAAAGGGCGACAATAAGTGATGCGTACATGCAATATTTAGAGTTTTAACGCCTGAAGAACGCAAAATTTGTACGAATGTTACTACTTGGAAGCATACATCTAGAACTATTTACATGGCCAAGAGTAATCATTTGGACGTCGGCAATGCTTGTACTGTTTTTCCATAAAAAAGGTTATCTGATTGGGAATTACAATTTAAACTTTTTATTGTTATTATACATGATCAATATTCATTATTTTGTCTGTTTTTAATTCAATTGTTTGTATTTTTTCAAATATTTAATAGTTTATCGATATGTATGTGTACGATTTGCACTTGAGAGAAACGCCAACGTGAAAGAAGTTATATATATCTCTGTCCTTTCAGGTAAAAATTAATTTATGGGATAGAGATCGAATAATTTAAAGTTATTTTCTTGACATTTATATTTAATGTTGTCTCAGAGTATCATTATCGAATATGCCACACATACTCAGAAGACAAGAAGAAATTACCCTTTTTAAATTTCATACCCACTGAATAGAGGACTTTATGCCTATTGATAGTAGTCATGTTGAACATGTATATTTATATTTAAAATTGTTATTTGTTTGTATGTGGTTGATTGTGCTTTTTACCTCACATGGTTTTGCATGTATATGTGTCTTTATATGATGAAGTCGACCGTCATTGGTTTTTATAAGTTGTTGATGTTGTGGAGGGACATACTTTTGTTTTGGACTCTCTTGGCGTCAATGAAGTCCGTAAAATATTGCAGAAAGTATTGTAAGATTTTAAGCAAACTATTAGAATTCTTGTAGTTTTCAAGTATAAATTTATAAATTTTAACTTATTGTAACAGTTGCGTGAAGCTCCGTGTATATATGAGAGTCATGCTCATTTGGGTAGATTATTTGAAAATGTTTCAAAATGTCCAATCCATTTTCTTGGATTACCGAAGCAGCCAAATTCGTACGTCATTTAAATTTAAAATTAAAGTTACTATTTTTTGGACTATGCATTTCTTTGTAATAAATTATTTTTATTTCATTTTGGATTCAAAGATGATTGTGGCATGTACATATTGAAGTATATAAAAGTCAATTGCAAAGACGATTGGTCAAAGATTATTTTCATGGTAAAGTATATCATGTAGTTTTGTTTAAATATTGTGTGATATTGAATAACAATATAAATTATTGTGTAAATGCAACAGATAGGAGTTGAACGACTGAGAATTTTGGCAAAACTTGTCGCAAACAAACACAATGAAGTTGATCTTTTTTATTTGCGTAAATTGTATGTACATGATTAACAAGTTATGAATTTTCAATTGTCAATATAGTTTATTCAATACTGAATAATGAAGAATAATAGTGGTGTATTAGATTTTTCAAAGCACTACACATTTTAGTATGAGTATACGTCTTATGATTTTTTTTGTTGATTCCAAAAGTGGAGCATTAAATTCTTCATAAGAATATGTGTTGATTCTGTTAACTTGATTAAAAATTAACAACTAAACTAAAAAAACTCATAATAACCGATAGAAGCTAAGTTGTACTGGTACACAACCAGTATCGATATTGGCATATAACACTGGATTACTGGTTACTTCCAATGTATCGATACCTTTAATGTATCGATACCTAGAAGCTAAGATGTATCGGTACACAAAAAGTATCGATACTGGCATATAACACTGTATTACGGGTTACATTCGATGTATCGATACCTAGAAGCTAAACTGTACCGGTACACTAGAAGTATCGATACTGACATATAACACTATATTATGAGTTACATCCAATATATCGATACCTTTAATGAATTAATTGTTACTATACTTCTATATTGGTTAAACTATTGAATTACATCAATGATTCTTGGATTTTCAAGTTGGTACATCCATATCGATAT